AAAAATGTTAATGTTAATAAAAAAAATATATATCCAAGTAAACAAATTGCACTCCAGGGTCTTTCAAGTTTTGATAAAATATAACTTTTAATTCATATCAAAATAATAAAATAAACGTTTCGGCTCACATCTGGAGCCTTCTTCAGGACGACAAATATGACATTTACAAACATGAAAGTGCAATATATGTACAAAATAATTAAATGCTCACCATCATCATATGAGTCAGGAGCAGTACCCACCAAAATGCACAAGAAGAAAGCCAAAAAGCCAGACCTGACGAAAATCTGACCGGTTCCCATGCACCAATTGCTAGGAAATGGCTGGAATACACAGCGCTATTGCCGATCGGCTGATCGTGTACTAAGATTGCCAGTGCAATCAGCCTCAGCCTAAGTGCTGCTGCTGGGAAAGGCGCACTGCCACCAATGACTCATACATGTATATAGTGAAAGATAAAATAGACCAGAACAGGTCTAAAAGTGTAGAGAAATATGCATACTAATAGAAGAGTATGATAATAAGAAGCATCAGTGAAATCGCTCTGCATTGGAACAATATGTGGAGAGCTTAGTTCTTACTTCTGAATGTATAACAATGTATAGCAATATGTAACACTAGCAAAGTAAAAACAATATGTATCAATATGTAACACTTACAAAATAGCAACAAATACAGACATTATAAATAGATTCACAACTGAACGATGGATAAACGCCAATAAATGGTAGAATGTCCCTCTAGAGTTAAATATCGAGATTGGATATGACTACCATAACCACTGTATCACTTGTAAAAAAAATAACCACCACCAGGGGTTAAAGGTATAAAATAAAATGTTAAATACTTATTGAAATAAATGAATAATAGATACAGGAATCAGTGGAGATGGAAATACACATTGCAAGTCAAAGAAATGAAAAATGTGTTCAATTCCTCTTTAAATGTGGATGTTTCAGCTAGTCAGATCATTACCTCCTATAGTATAAGGTAGGTAGAATCCACAGGCTCCTGAAATATTATTCTAGTAAAGGTTTCTGGACTGACAGAGTACAGAACCAATATACAAAATATTATTGTTTAAATCCCACAAAGGGTTAAAATCTTAATGGTAAAGTCGATTATACCGTGCAGCAGACAGAGTACTATTTAAAAATGTATTAGTACATGTAAACTGTCGACAAAACACATAGATATATAAAAGACTAATAAGTTAAACAGTCACAAATATGAGTAGCAATAGTACCAGGTATTGCAGACTTGGGGTCCAAAGATGTTAAAATCACTCTCTTGCCGGCCGGATAGAAGTGAAATAGTTCTTCCTCGTGCTTGAATGACACTGGATTCTGGCCGTGTGCGTTCCACTGCGGCTCTGGATGCGTTTCAAATGTGCTTGCTCTCAGGAACCGATGTATACCGATGTGAAGATGCCGCCTTACGCGTTTCATGATCACAGATCACTTCATCAGAGGATGGCATCTTAGAATCTTCAATCTGTTTTATACTCGTTTGGTCTGTTCTTGTTAATTTTAAATTAACCCTTACTATACTTATACATAACAATCCGATATAAAAGTCATATTTAACAGAATTAATACAATGCAACTCGTAATTGATTCTTAATTAAAAATGTATTCAGACATAGAATTCATAATATATAAAAATGTACAACATAAAACCCATTACCTTATGGATATTAATAAACAAATGAATAATCAAACCATGTGTACATCGTTCTATTACATATAAAATGAATACAACATAAAAATCCCGTGCTTTATAATTCTAATTTGAAGAGATACTTGCAGCAATTCATTTATCAGAAAGTTACTTAGACAGGATAGAAGGAATTACACAGAGAAATAGACATACTGAAGTTTATCTATGTTATAAAATAATAGATACTTTTTAACCAAAGGAAAAATAACAGAACTGTTCTGCTAAAACTAAATTTGAAGACCATATATTAGGGTTTCTCATGGATTAAGTATATACCCGGTTTTATGATGATAAAAATAATAATAAAATATGAAATCTACAGTTATAAAAATACATATACCAAAACTAATGACTTGATAGAATGTATAAAAACAAAAATGTTTAAAATTGAGTGTAATTTTAAAATTGATATCAACTCTTTGTTTAAAAAACCCATACCTGGGGCAATGGAGAGAAAAGATACACTGTTAGAAGTTTGTACATATTATTTTGCAATAATGAACATTTACACTGAAAATGGCTAAATATAAAGGTTTCTAAATCAATATATAAATGGCGTATGAAGGAGTCATTATAATCTCCCTAAATTCTTTGAGACCCATATATTCGGATTATCAACGAGTTAAATGTATACCCAGTATATTTACAAATAATGATATAAGACTAAACAGAATCTAAAAGCTGACATTCAATATACAAAATGAGGCTGATAACTTAAATTGCCTATTTAACTCATCTCCTGCAAGATCATAGTCTTCTTAGACTTAAATTCAAACATCTCTAAAAAGACATAAACATAGTTGGTGTTATGTTAATAGCAATCATTGCGGTAGTGCACGTAGTGATCACTATTTAGCTACTGTGACGAAGTGCCCTTCACCACTTGTGCCTGGAGAGGACTGCTTGCCCGCCTCTTGCCCTGTGACTATGGACCCTGGGAGATTTGGCCTGTTCAATTCAGTATGATAGGAGTTATGTATTTTTGTATCCTTTTGTGTTTTACTGGGAACATGTGCTCAATGGAGTCTGCTTCTATCCCTGGATAATTGGATTACTTTCCCCATTGTCTCCAGGCTAGAGGGCTCTGTAAAACCAGTTTGGGCCAGATAGCCATGCTGCCAGCCAGGCCCCAAAAGATACTTTACTAACTTCTGAACCCCTGGTCTGATTCATGCCATTTTTTGCTATGTTGTTTCCCTGAATGGATTGATTGTGAATATATATTTTTTTTTTATGTGAATGTGATGTATATTTTAGAAGTTATGAATGCTGTAAAAACTGTATTATTTCTGGCCATCAGATAATTGAGCTTTGTGTATTGTAGAAACTCAATTATCTAGCCTGGCCCAGAGGAGGAGTTTTGTGTTGCATAAATTGTGAGTTCTGTGTGCCAGTAAATCAGTCTTGTTCCAGCATTAAGCCTTGGCTCATGTTTGGGGGATTGGAGAAATACACTCTGGGGATTGCTATAATCACTATACTCCCCAGGGTATGATCACTAAGTTCTGCTAAGAGCTTGTTCCTGTTCCTGCTCTCTGGGGAAAGAGAGGTTCACCCACTGGAAGCTGGATCCTGGCCTTGGGTCCAGGGTGGGTGGAGACAGCAGAGACCCCGGCGCAGTTGCATCGCTGGAAGTGGGGTCTGCAGTGCTGATGGTGTCGGTTGGAGTGCTTGGAGTCCTCAGCGAGCACTAGGAGCATCGATTGGCGGAGGTACTCAGTCGGAGTGCCAGCGGTCCATCACAGCTACATTTATCCCATAGGTTAAGCAGGTATCGTTAAACCTCATTATTATTAGTTAAAAGTAAGTAAAAAATGATAATAAATATAATATTGATAATATTTGATAATATAATATGATGAGAAGGGCTTCCCACACTTATTTTTGGCAGGAACAAAAAATATATTTGGAGAAATCAATTAAAAAGTATATATGGTGAAATCAATTAAAAAGTTCATAAATAACATGTACAGAATTAAGATTTACATAATATTGAAAAATATATATATAAAAAAGGGCTATACATATAAAAAGGATAATACAAAAAATATCAAAGAAAGGCATTAAGCTCAAAATGGATGTTAAGACCAAAAGGCTCCAGGCTGTTAAGTTGAAAAATCCATTTAGCTTCATTTTTGTAAAGGGCTTTTTCAAAATCTCCTCCCCTCCGATGTGGGTTAACCTTTTCGATGGCATTCAATTCTAGACCCACTGGATTATTGGAATGATGACTTGAAAAATGTCTGGAGAGGTTGTGTGTAATTAGTCCCTTTTTAAAAATTCTTTATTTTTTGTGTGCATATGACGACAACAAGCGTGTAGAGCCACAACAGCATCTTCGAGCATTCTTATGGCATTTCACAGTGTGGCAGTTCAGTCGAAACATTTTTATGTAATATGAAGTTAACAGATTAGTGGACAACGCTGATATAACATCACCCTCAACTCAGAGCCTCGACTCGTGTTGTAGGGATCCGGGAATCCTAGCTTTACTATAGCTAGTGGGATATTTTACACTTACAGGTTTCTACTGATTGAAGCACCATTCGACTCTCTGACTTCGGGAACCAGGACATCCAAGCGATCCAACCTCCTGCTAGACCGGAGGCAATCGTAACAGAAGGCATCGCCAATGGAACCAGGTTTGCACCAAGCTACGCTAATTTGTTCATGGGAAAGTGGGAAGAGGAATTTATTTGGAACAATACCCCACATAGTGCAAACCTGGTCCTATGGCGGCGATACATTGATGATTGCATTTTTATTTGGAAAGAGGATCTAAACAAATTCAAAAACTACCTCAACTTCAATCCCTATAATTTAAGATTCACCTTTACCCATTCACAAATCTCAGTAGAATTTTTAGATCTGGAAATATATATTAAAAAAGAGAGAATCCATACAAAAATGTTCAGGAAACTGTTGCCTAACATCCCCTTTGGGCAATTCAGGCATATGGATAAAGCTCTAAAAGTATCAAGAGAAGAAACTTTGGAAAGTAGGAGAAAGACATTGAAACCAGATACAGAGACCCCAGCGTTCATCACACAATTTAGTAATCAAGCAGGAAAAATCAGACACATCCTTAACAAACATTGGAAAGTTCTGAAAGAAGACAATACATTAGGTATGATTTTGGATGACAAACCAAAGATTTTCTATTCACGAGCTCCAAATCTCAAAACTATATTAGCTCCAACTATAAAACAAATTAGATTACCAAGTAACTATCAGGAGACTGTCGGCTTTCGAAAATGCAATAGAAACATAGAAACATAGAATGTGACGGCAGATAAGAACCATTCGGCCCATCTAGTCTGCCCAATTTTCTAAATACTTTCATTAGTCCCTAGCCTTATCTTATAGTTAGGATAGCCTTATGCCTATCCCACGCATGCTTAAACTCCTTTACTGTGTTAACCTCTACCACTTCAGCTGGAAGGCTATTCCATGCATCCACTACCCTCTCAGTAAAGTAATACTTCCTGATATTATTTTTAAACCTTTGTCCCTCTAATTTAAGACTATGTCCTCTTGTTGTGGTAGTTTTTCTTCTTTTAAATATAGTTTCCTCCTTTACTGTGTTGATTCCCTTTATGTATTTAAATGTTTCTATCATATCCCCCCTGTCTCGTCTTTCCTCCAAGCTATACATGTTAAGATCCTTTAACCTTTCCTGGTAAGTTTTATCCCGCAATCCATGAACCAGTTTAGTAGCCCTTCTCTGAACCCTCTCTAAGGTATCAATATCCTTCTGAAGATACGGTCTCCAGTACTGTGTACAATACTCCAAGTGAGGTCTCACCAGTGTTCTGTACAATGGCATGAGCACTTCCCTCTTTCTACTGCTAATACCTCTCCCTATACAACCAAGCATTCTGCTAGCATTTCCTGCTGCTCTATTACATTGTCTGCCTACCTTTAAGTCATCAGAAATAATCACCCCTAAATCACTTTCCTCAGATGTTGAGGTTAGGATTCTATCAAATATTCTGTACTCTGCCCTTGGGTTTTTACGTCCAAGATGCATTATCTTGCACTTATCCACATTAAATGTCAGTTGACACAATTCTGACCATTTTTCTAGTTTACCTAAATCATTTGCCATTTGGCTTATCCCTCCTGGAACATCAACCCTGTTACATATCTTAGTATCATCAGCAAAAACACATACCTTACCATCAAGACCTTCTGCAATATCACTAATAAAAATATTAAAGAGAATGGGTCCAAGTACAGATCCCTGAGGTACCCCACTGGTGACAAGTCCAAGCTTCGAATATATTCCATTAACTACAACCCTCTGTTGCCTGTCACTCAGCCACTGCCTTACCCATTCAACAATATTTGAATCCAAACTTAAAGATTGCAGTTTATTGATAAGCCTTCTATGTGCAACAGTGTCAAAAGCCTTACTGAAATCTAGGTAAGCAATGTCTACTGCACCACCCTGATATATAATTTTAGTTACCCAATCAAAAAAATCAATAAGATTAGTTTGGCATGATCTCCCTGAAGTAAACCCATGTTGTCTCTGATCTTGAAATCCATGTGTTTTTAGATGTTCATCAATCCTATCCTTTAACATGGTTTCCATCACTTTCCCCACTACTGAAGTAAGGCTTACTGGCCTATAGTTGCCCGACTCCTCCCTATTACCTTTCTTGTAAATGGGCACAACATTCGCTAACTTCCAATCTTCTGGGACTACTCCTGTTAACAATGATTGGTTAAATAAATCTGTTAATGGTTTTGCTAGTACACCACTAAGCTCTTTTAATAGCTTTGGGTGTATTCCATCAGGTCCCATTGACTTATTTGTCTTTACTTGTGACAGTTGAAATAGAACCTCTTCCTCTGTAAACTCACGTGTAATAAATGACTCATTTATCCTTTTTCTCAACTGAGGTCCCTTTCCTTATTTTTCATCTGTAAATACAGAACAAAAATATTCATTGAGGCAGTCAGAGACCTTTATCCTCTTCTACATACCTTCCTTCTTTTGTTTTTAATCTAACTAATCCTTGTTTTACTTTTCTTTTCTCATTTATGTATCTAAAAAATGTTTTATCCCCCTTTTTTACTGACTGTGCTATTTTCTCTTCTGTGTGTGATTTGGAAGCTCTTATAACTTGCTTAGCCTCTTTCTGCCTAATCTTATAGATCATTTTGTCTTCCTCACTCTGGGTTTTTTTTATAATTCCTAAATGCTAACTTTTTGTTTTTAACTATTTTGGCCACATCTGCGGAGTACCACAGTGGTTGACAAGCCTAATGCAATTTTCTGTTGCCTTCAATGGTGCAACTTTTAAATAATCCCATTTCTCTTGGACTCCATTTAAATTGCTCCAGTCTGATAATGACTCCTCTACCCATATTCTAATTTTAGAAAAGTCTGTTTTTCTAAAGTCTAAAACTTTTGTTTTTGTGTGGTGTGACTCAGTCACTGTTCTTATATTAAACCACACTGACTGATGATCACTGGATCCTAAACTTTCACCTACAGTAACATCTGATACCAAATCTCCATTTGTTAACACTAAATCTAGTATGGCCTCTTTTCGAGTTGGCTCCTCAACAACTTGTTTTAGAGACAATCCCAGTAGGGAGTTTAGAATATGTGTGCTCCTCGCACAAGTAGCTAATTTTGTTTTCCAATTTACATCAGAAAGATTAAAGTCACCCATGATGATAGCTAAAATGACAATGAAGGGGGAAGTTATTTCCTCAACTAGTAGATTATCTAACTCTTCAATTTGTCCTGGGGGCCTATAAATCACACCTACACGAGTTACTGTGTGATTACCAAATTCTAACGTAGCCCAAACGGACTCTATGTTTGCCTCACTAACTTTTATTAGGCTAGATTTTATGCTATCCTTCACATACAAGGCCACCCCTCCCCCTTTCTTGCCTTCCCTATCTTTCCTATATAAAGAGTACCCTGGTATTGCTATGTCCCAGTCATTTTTCTCATTGTACCATGTCTCAGTAACAGTGACTAAATCTACACTATCAGTTGCCATTATTGCCACAAGTTCATGGATCTTATTCCCTAAACTGCGAGCATTTGTAGACATGACTCTAAGCTTATCATTTTTTAACACACTTGCTACAGGCACCTTCTGTCCTTGTTTTGGGGGACAATTGGATTGATGTTTTATCACCCTTTTGCCCCCCCCCTCCTAGTTTAAATACATCCTAGCAAAACCTCTGAACTGCCCACTGAGAACATTTGTTCCCTTTTGAGAAAGATGCAAACCATCTTTTTTGTACAGCTTATATCCATTTCAAACAGAGCTACCATGAAAAATAAAGCCAAATCCTTGCTCCGACACCATTCACCAAGCCACAAATTAAAGTCCCTAATACGCATCCGCCTGTCGTTCTGAGTGTTATGCACAGGCAGAACTTCAGAGAATGACAGTATGGAAGCAACCTGCCGTATATCATTGGCAAAAACACTAAAAACTTTCTTAACCTCTGAAACCTCATTGCAAGCCAAGTCATTTGTCCCTAGATGGACAAGTACATCCAATTCCCCTTCCTGCTTTGTTTGCTTAACAATATTACAGATACGTCTCCTGTCTCTGTGAGCAGTAGCTCCGGGAAGACATCTCATCAGACCACCATTGTCCATCTCCACACCTCTTATGATGGAATCCCCCAACAACAACTGCTTTCTATTAGGCCTCACCATAGTCTCCAAGCCGGTCTCCACAACACCACTAGTCTCAGTGCCTCTCTCCACAACACCACTAGCCTCAGTGCCTCTCTCCACAACACCACTAGCCTCAGTGCCTCTCTCCACAATACCACTAGCCTCAGTGCCTCTCTCCACAATACCACTAGTCTTAGTGCCTCTCTCCACAACACCACTAGCCTCAGTGCCTCTCTCCACAACACCACTAGCCTCAGTGCCTCTCTCCACAACACCATTACACTCTGAAAGTGCAGAAAATGAATTATGAAGAGCAGCAGACTGTGCAAAATGCCTTTTATCCACAACTCTAAGTCTACCAGATCCTACAGTAATCCATCTGCCTTTCCTAGCATGTCTCTGCGGCAGTGGCTTTGCAGCAGTTCCAGTCTGAGTTTCTTCACCAGATAATTTACAAATCTCAGACTTCAAAAATACAATCTCCTGCCGCAAGATAGAGAACTGTCTACAGATTAGACAACAACCAAACCTCCAAAAAGTGGAACGTGAAACAAATGCATAGCAATTGGTACACTGAACTAAGTCTGCCATTCCAATTAGGAGAATAAATTAAATCTAACAAATCTTAACTTTGTATTTATCCTCCTGAATACCTCAGATTACCTCCAGAATATCTCCAACTACACACTTAGAAACAGCACTTAGAAGTAGCACCAAGCTATATTAGACAAGCTAATGGAACCAGGCCTTATATAACTCCTTAAATCCCACCCACTAGGAATGTTTAACACCTGGGTAGGCCTCTGCTTATTTGCAAACAATAGCTAATTAACCAGCAATCAACAGCAAGTAACTAGCTTAATCAAATCAAATGCCTTATAATTACCAACAGGAATTCAAACCTTGTGCAATCAGTAACCTTTTCCTACAGATGAATCTTACCTGTAACAGTAGAAAAGAAAGCTCTTAGCACAACTCTTAGACAGTTGAAGCTTCTGTAAAACTCTCCAGAATATCTCCAACTACACACTTCGAAACAGCACTTGGAAGTAGCACCAAGCTATAAATGTCCCGGTTGTAAAAATAATCTAGCTCAATCAGCTTTAACAAAGAAATGGAAAAATATGAAAGGGGATGACAAATTCAAAATAAAGTCAGACCTAAGCTGTAATTCTATTGGAGTTATTTATGTTCTAATATGTCCTTGTAAGAAACACTATATAGGCCGAATAAAAAGAAAATTCAGGATTAGGTTAGGAGAACATATTCGCAATATTAAGAAGGGACTAATTACACACAACCTCTCCAGACATTTTTCAAGTCATCATTCCAATAATCCAGTGGGTCTAGAATTGAATGCCATCGAAAAGGTTAACCCACATCGGAGGGGAGGAGATTTTGAAAAAGCCCTTTACAAAAATGAAGCTAAATGGATTTTTCAACTTAACAGCCTGGAGCCTTTTGGTCTTAACATCCATTTTGAGCTTAATGCCTTTCTTTGATTTTTTTGTATTATCCTTTTTATATGTATATCCCTTATATATATATATATATATATATATATATATATATATATATATATATATAAATAGCTGAATCAAAGGTTGCACTCACGGATTCTTAAAACATAGCTTTTATTGTGTACTCCTAAAAAAATCGACGTTTCAGTCCTATTCAAGGACTTTCATCAGGATCATAGAAACATAACATAACAATTCAACCATATATAGGATGCAGTAAATTACAATAACTCACCACAGGTGCCATAAGACAACCAGCGTCCCGGTCGGGAATGTGCGCATGTGCCGAGTAGCCCCTCCCCCCGGCGTAACGTGT